CTTTGAGCTCGAAACCCCAAGTAGACGGAAGACAGCAAAGCTGTACCCTTCACTTACCAATTGATAGAAATTGTATTGAAGGCCCATTATAGAAATCAATTATATATCTGCCACGATATATAAACTACGAGACTACGAATATGCTTACTATATTGTCATCTATTCTGTTTTCTTAACACTTTGGCAATCTTTGTCTCGATATCATGCTGTTCAATGCCGGCCAGAGGATATTGCATATTCGGTACTCCGAAGCTAAATTTTCTTGTTATGCCCTTGTAGAGGGTATTATAAGTTTGTCATCAAATGTAACAACATCAACAGCCGAGTCAATATAGCCGTGCCCGTCGGTTTTTCTGCGAACCAGTCTCTCAGTTTAAAGCCTATCGTCTTGAAGCGTTGCATGGGTCGTGGATCGGACCACTATATCATATAGCTGTCATAGGAATGATTGGTCGAAAAGTTGGTTCCGATATGGAAACCTTTTTATACCCTTGCGGTCGGTATTATAAATTTGTCACGAAATGTGTAATGCATAGAAGGAGACATCTGCGACCCCATAAAGTATATATATTCTTGATCAGTATCAGCAGCCGAATCGATATAGCCCATCCGTCTGTCTGCGAACTAGTCTCTTAGTTTAACGTTGCGTAGGTCTGTCATTATGTCGCAACTGGCCGTATCGGACCACTGTATCATATAGCTGCCAGAGAAACGATCGGACGCAAAGTAGGTTCTTGTTAAAAAAAAAAAACATATTTGTTTATCAAGATATCTTGACCAAAACTCGGTATTTATTAGTTTTACTTTGCTATCCACATATATGCAAAATTCTTTCAACATCGGACCACTTTATCATATAGCTGCCATAGGAACGATCGGTCGAAAACAAAGTTCTTGTATGGAAATTTTTTTTGCTTTTCAAGATATCTTGACCAAACTCGGCATTCAGAGATTTCACTATGTTGCCTACATTTATGCAAAATCTTATTGACATCGGACTTGAATATCATATAGCTTCCATAGGAACGACCAGTTGAAAAGTAGGTTTTTGTATGAAAAACTTGTTTGGAATAAACTATTTTACCTGTGCTTCTAAGATACGGGCAAAGCACTATGGGCATTATGAAAAGTTGGGTCTGCTAGGGTATTAATACTTCAGCGTGCCGAAGATTTTTATTTAAATCAGTTTTGTGATTAAACTAACCGATGAATTATAAAAAGAATAGATAAAACTTTTGTCCGTACTGAAATCCCATAAGAGATCAGTCCATATCGCGTTGCCTAAGCTTAAGCCGAAGTCCATGTTTGCTAGTTTAAACATTCCTAATTATACCCTGAACAAATTAAAAATGGGTATAAGGGTATATTGTATTTTTGCAAAATGCAAATGTATGTAACAGGCAGAAGGAAGCATCTCCGACCCCATAAAGTATATATATTCTTGATCAGCATCAACATCCAAATCGATCTAGCCATGTCCGTCCGTCCTATAAGAGCTAGAGACTTGAAATTTTAGATGTAGGTGGTCCTAGTGCCTGCGCAGATCGAGTTTGTTGCCGATAATCGATAACTTACTCCGTTTCCAAGAAATCGATAAAAATCGATATCGATATCCTGATTTTTGGGCAATTTTGGTAAATAATAAGAGCTAGTCACCAAACTTGATATGTTGCCTCTAAAATAGAATATATATATGCATTGATGTTGGAAGAAGAGGGTTCAGGGTATCTCCTAGTCGGGAGCTCCCGACTAGAACCTCTTGTTTAAATCTATGAAAAACGTAAATTGCAAAATTATATCTCAGCTGACAAATAAAACCATTAATATAGAACTGAGACGAAACGCTGGGAAGTTAAAATTGTAGCTTACTTTTTACTATGAACCGAAACTTAAGACAGAACCTGAACCCAAGCCCGAGTTCAAATAACTTTGGGCGTGACTCGGCTTTTAAAACTGGCATTTAACTAAACAAAAAATTTGAATATGTGCCAAATGTTGGCTAATGATCTAATGTAGCCCGCAATTTCTATATGAAAATATATAAAAATAGACTAGCAATATTTTCAGCAGAACGGGCAATTCTATAAAATTAAGAATTATATATAGTCAAGTTGGGAACAACCAAACCATGTGCTGGTACCCAAATAAAGAGCAAATGTGTCATTCCCAATTGGCATCAATATTTCCAAAGATATATTCTCACAATGATTAGCTTGTAAGTTTTATTATGGTCCCCATATATAGACAAAATCCTATCAACATCGGACCACTTTATCATATAGCTGCCAGAGCAACGTTCGGTCGAAAAGAAGGTTGTCGTATGGAAAACTATTTTTTTTTTCACGGGGAAAACCCCGTGTTTCTTAGATACGGCAAGAGCTTGAGCATGAGCATATGAGCATTATGAAATGGTTGCATCTGCAAGGGTATTAAATCTTCGGCGTGTCGAAGATAGCACATCTTGCTCGTTTTATATTCAGATAACTGGACCATGTAAAAT